CTCCCCCCCCCCCTTTTCTACGACACTGGCTTGGTACCTTTCCGCTAAGTGCGGTCCTATTAGACTGCATATTGCAATATACAACTACCAATTCCGGCTCATACAAAAAAAACACCTATCTACACAGGAGAGCTATTGGTACATATGTTGTTTCTGGAATGAGCCACAAATTGCACTATGTCCAAATAGGAACTAGTGAGACAAAGACAGACTAGTTTATTATATTTGTTATTTTAATGGACAAAGTGAACAATACTGCGGCCGTGGCAACTCATGACGTGTAATGTATGATAAAAAATTTAAAATTGGCGGGAATGAGAAAGTAGTCCTGTAGATGGTAGGGCTATCTTGCGGCGAATTCCGCGCTCAGACGGGCCTTGATTGGCTTAGTTCTTAGGCATAATATTTGGCAAAAATGTCAAGGCCTCTCTCTATTGGTTGGTACAGCAAAGTGCAAGTTTATGACTTTTTGTTTTTTTTCAAATGACCTACTCATGCAGAGACAATTTCACTTTTCGTATTGTAATTTGTAGGTTAGTTTAGTTTCAAAGTTTCTTTCATTACTAACACAGAGATACGTGTTGATAACATTGATAATGTGACATTTTTGTGATTTCCGTGTTCGCCATCAGTGCAGGACTGCAGGATCGAATAACCTAGTTGGACTCATGAAAATTGTTAGTTTTTAGATCATGGTCATTTTATCTTTATTTTGAAGTGATATTCGGAAACTGCAATCGCGGAAGACTCTTTCCGTTTTTGTCTACAACATGACGCTGAGGTAGTTCTTATCTCTAAATCTCTGAGAGGATAATAATGGCTCCGCTAAAGGATGAGGTACGATATTCCTTAGTTTATTGCATAATTTTTTGTTGACAACTTCACTTATGTTGAGGTATCTAGCATTCTAACGTAATTTGTTGAAACCACCAACGGTTAAATCTGCAGGGAAACCCAAGACTTTACGGGCAGCGCAAGAAAAATTTGACCACTTGGTTTTAACTTTCTAGTTGGTAGAGTCTGCGCCAAATACTTGTGCACACTTCTAGACTGCCGCAGAAGATCATCTGATGCCAGTTTAGCATTGCAAGTAAATGCAAGAATCCAGTTGGCGAATCTTCTTTTGTAGTTTTAAAGTGTGCAAGCGTATTGTATTCAAACTCAAATGTTTGGTGCAGTTAAACCTAACCTATCAGTTACTGTTTGGTTCCTCTGTTTACCAATGAAACGTAATCTAACACCAAGTCTGTAGACACTGCATGCATTGTAAGCATTGCTAATGCTGAAAACACAGTTCAAGCAGAGTTTTAGTTAGGCTCAATTTTGTAACCACACTTCCACTACTGACTGACCAAACGTAGCCACTGCCTAAGGTTATCTGGTGGAAGCTGCGGGGAACACACAGGATTGTCAAGGAAGGACTTCAAAAAATGGATTATTTTACTTTAGAAAGGGAATTTGTTCTGGCCATAGAATTTTCAGTTAAATTTCTGGGCAATTTTGACGGAATGAAATAAATTTTGACAACAGAATCACATTTTAATTGAAGGAAACAATGATTTAATCGCATAATGCATATAGACGGTGTAAGTCGGCAATCACATAACTCATTTATGGTGTCTGAAATTCTCCGCCTCTGTGTTACTTTGTTAAAGGAGAACAAATTGATATCATCCTATGAAGTCTACGCAGAATTTTTTTCTCACAGAGAAGAAAAATCATGGCAGTTTTAAAGAATTACTGTCGCGTAGTTTTCCTTTTAAAAAATATAGCATGACAGGAAGTCTGCGTTGTCGCAAACCGAGTTATGTGATTGCCGACCTACACCGTCGATATGTAGGGAATCAAAGGATGATGATGGATGGAACCTGCGAAACGTATGTCTAAGGGAGAAGGATAGGGAATCCTAAGTTTCCAGTGGTAGTAACAGCTTTCCTTAAATATTTCTGTTTCTTCATGGGCAGAAATGTGATGTTTCAATCCTGTGGATTATGAAGTCTCATATTTTAGAGTTCATCGGGTTAAATTGTGAAAATTCGCACTTGCACAAGCTACTCGTAGCCCAGCCTGCAGCTTATTTAATTCTAAGACAAATGATTGGTGCAGCTAAGAGTGTGTTAGTAGATTCTGCGCATGGATACGTTTCCCTCTCTAGGATTTACTAACACACTCTCTTACAGTTTCTAATGTGGCCAGGAATTGGTATTTCCTCTCCGAAAACCAAGCATGATATTGTAATCATTAGAGTGACTCCTAGCTGGATGTATTTTTGCCAAATAAAACCAGGGACAGGTGAGAAAGACGGGGTGCACTCGTTAGTCGAGGGCTGTAAGATTGAATGAGAATTATAAAGCCCCAGTGACGTCAGCGGCAACGTAGCTGCCGCCGCGGCTCTGCCTGGGAGTCTTTAGCTCATGAGCTGTGTCCACAAGGTGCTTGTAACATGCCCATGGCTCATGAGTGCTGCATTCAAATGGTACATAGTTCCGTTTGACAGTAAATAAAAATCCTGCTTTTCCTTTCCCTCCAAAGGGAATAACGCCTACTTTAACATTGTTTCTTATCTAGTTTTCTAGAGCACATTCCATCTTTCCCACTAGTCTATACTTTCGTTTGGCAGAAATACGTCCAACTCATAGAGTGATGGCTGTGCACTGCATTTCAAGTTGTTATGCAGTCATTGGAGCTCATGAAGCGTTGTGATTTTGGTGAACGTTGGTATTTGCTCTTATCCTATCTGTGCTCATAACTATTGTTTTCATTCTTATACACCAAACGAAGCTTACATTTTATATTGATTGTTATTGATCAAATGAGGATTCTATATATTTACTAGTTTTAAGATAGGTAATTCTCTATTTTTATTTTAATTCTTTGTTTAAATTTTTTCCATTGTTTTACGTTATTTTAGTTGTTTAATTTTTTTTTTTTCTAGCCTGATCAATGTGATTCAACTGCTTTCTTTTTTGTTGATTGGATCTGCAATGTTGGCTTTCATATGGAAATTCTTATCAATCCTCCACTTATGCTGATGTGGATATTTACTAAGATTTAACTTGAAGATAAAGTTAAACCATCCATCCGTCCATCAAAATGTTTCCAATTCAGCTGCTCTGTAACAAGCATCGTCTTGATATTGCCACCTCCATAAATGTCAATTCAGCATGTCCTTAAACTTTTTCATGATTCAGGAAGTTTGAACCACGTTCATAAATCAAAAATTAAAGCTCCAAAAATGAGCTACCAGAAAAAAATTCCATCAGTTCGGAAAGATTCTATGACCGAACTTTTCGTTGAACCTTAAAAATCTGGAAAATAATTATATTTTACATCTTTTGTTCTAGTTTTTTCAGCAGGTTTTGCTTTAATTTTTTGTCAATATTACTTTAGCCAGTTCCTACATTAGTCACTAATCGTCTAACTTCATTTTTTGCAGCCAAAAATCATCAAGTCACTTTCAAAGTTGGGGCTGTTTGCTCGAGTTGTAGTCAAGAAACTAACACCTGAAGAAATCGCTCAGTGGACGAAGAAAACTCTAGCAGATTCACCAAAAGAATGGAGACCCTCACCTGCAACATCTGTTTGCAATGACAGGTGTGTCCTCTATCATCTCTCTTTCTCTTTTCTAGTTTTACTTTTCACCTTTCAACAGCTTTCCCCATTTACTGCATCGAGCTTGGTGAAGTTGGTTGACCAACTTTGAGCTTAAACTGCCTAAATATGGTAAAATATTTGGTGCTTCATTCTTCTAAAAAGTTTTAGTTTGAGCCACCAAAGTGTTTGAAAAACTACTGCCTAAAAACAGAATGATTAGCTGATTTTTTTACATTTTGCATGAAAATATTGTTCCTTGCACAATAAATGTTTAGTGCCTTAGTAATTTGTTCTTCCAATTTCAGAAGAAAATTTTAAAATCTGTCAAGCCATTCTACAATCACAGTCAAAAACAGGGGCTCAATAGGTACCTGTTTTGTGAAAAAGATCAGAATTTTGTCAAATTTTATTCGAAATAATTGTGCTTTGCGGTAAATATTTAGTGCTTAATTCGACCTGTTGAAATAAGAAGAAATTTTCAAATTTCACCAATCCATTCTCTTGCAAGAGCCAAAAAACTATTGAAGAAAATAATGGTCTTGGCAGAAACCGTTTTATGGAGACTAAAGATTTTAAAAAAAAAATTGTAGTACCTAGCTTTGCAACGATAAAGATTATTAAATTTTGTTAAAAACTTCATTTTGCCAAATATAAAAAGAACTGTGCTGACTTGTTGTTTTTGTCAGCATTTAATTAATATAGTCATACGATTGTTCAGCAGAAGAATCTCTTTCATTACTTATATGCCGGTGAAGCTTGGAAATAAATTTCCTGTCTCTACTGCAATGCTCCTGATTTTATTCATCACTAGATGGTACAGCTACTGCTACAGCTAAAATCTTTCACGCCTTTATTCAATAATTCCATAATCAGAAATAGTCCATTTTCTTGTCAAAGCAGAATCCTTAAACGGCTTTGATTGTCAGTGTTTAAACTATCCCTTCCCCCCTCCCTTATATTTGGTGAAGCTCCATATTGCCTCACACTCATACGTCTGAATGAAATTTTTGCATAATCAATTTACTCAACTACATTCATTACTGATTTAAATCGATTCTACTGTCTCCCTCAAATCTCATAAGCAAGCACATTGCTTCTTCTTTCTCTTAAGAAAAATGAGCTTCAATCTTTTCAGTAGACTCATCCATACTAATATCTTCGTTTTCTTTTGCAGCTCAGGAGATGAAAAACAAATCATACGAAAACGTAGACGGGTGGCCTGCCTGCAGTTATCAGACTCATCATCTGAGGGCTCTAGCTCAGATTTTTTAGATTCTAACCACAAAAAATCTAAATCAAGGAGAAAAAAGACGAGCAATGAAAGGAGAATCCTGCCGGAGAGAAGTGCGAGACGGAGAGCGGCGATTATTTATTCTGATGATAGTGAGGAGGAGGATGTAGAATTAAAAATCCCTTATAAAAATTATCATCGAGGTCCTTCATTGAATGTCCCAATAGTTCATGACAGCAGTGAAACAGCAGTAGCCTCTGAAAAAATAAATGGTGTTGAAGCTTGTTTGAGTAGCAACAAGGTAACAGATGTGATCACAGTTTGCAGCTCCCCAGAAGATGGAACACCTAGAGTAAGCAGTTCAGATGATACTCCTCAGTGTACAGCAGCAAAACCTTTGAACGATGGCAACAGGAATTCAAGTAACCCAGTCAAAATAATTCTCAGATCAGATTCTGATAGTCTTGACAAAATAACTGATAGCCCCTCCATAGAAAGTGCCTTTATATTGGATGAGCACTCAGGTTTAAGATGTTTACCCAGTGAACAAACGAGTGCAGCTGATAAACCCTGTTCTGAAAGTGTCAGCAGAAATGAAAGGATATTATCTTCACCTAGTAAAAACATACCGGTGTCACAAGCATCAGAAGGTATAAGTCACTTACCAGGCTCCAGTGAAGAAAATTTTGAAAATTTAGACAAATTAAAGAAAATAACAATTGTAAACACTGACGAAAAGAATGTTGGTAAAATTCGATTACGGAGTCTACAAAGCCTCGGCGCCTCTGATAGTTTTATCAGAGAGGCAAATCTCAAGACAAGTAATTCTGGTGTTGGGAAGATTGTCCATAACCTATACTCAGACCATGTGTCACAAATTATGGCAAAAAGCCTCTTGCTAAAAATAGCAACTTATCTAAGTGAAAAATTGTGCTCCACCGAAGAATTCAATCGAATATTAACTACAATTGAATTGCAAAAATCATCTAAGACTGAAATTCAGAATGAGCAATTAGAAAAAATAGTCCAGAAACGGCAAGAACTTGATGCTATCATTTCTAAATTATTCACTCAAGTTGTTGAATCTTTTCATATGAAATTAGAAAAACAAAACAAAGTTGAATATTTTCCAACACTATTGTACCTTGGATTTCTGTACATTCTAAATAATTTTATAGAAATTACCAATAACAGGTATAAGAAAAGCTCTCTATTTAAAAATATTGTTTTAGTTCTTACTGAAAGTCTGCGAAATGGGCATTTCAAGTATGAGCAAATAGTTAATTTCTTCTTAACCAGCAACTTTCACGCTCATTGTTACAAATTAATTGATTATATAGGGGTAATCAAATCCCAGAATACTTTAAATCAATTGAAGAACAATGGCAAATCTAGTCAGGATGAAGAAAATTCAGTACATGTACCTGTTAGAAAAATTTCCTATAGGATGGTTGATTCCCAAATGGTCATCGAATATTCAAAAACTTTGGAGGAGGTTGAAACAAGAAGAGAAGCTTTGAAGAATGCCGAAATACCTCAAGGTGATTCGACAATGACTCAACCCTCGATTCCAACAACATCAACTCCGAAATCTCAAACATTCACTCCATCCATTCCATTTAGCCATCAACCAAACCAACAAACTATGAACCAACCAAGTGTAATAGTATCGTCTTCCACAAATCCAATTAAACATTCTCCTGTGTCAGATGCTAAAGCCAGAAATCCACAAACTTCCAGCACTATTTCGGCTGGTGTTTCCAAACTTCCATTTGTCACAGTTGTTCCTCGTAAAACAAATGAAAATTTGACTCTTCATAACTTATTAGCCAGCAATAAGGTTCCAAGTGATATAAGTGTTCAATCTCTAGCCTCTCAAAACCAGCCAACATCTGTTATTCGAACACCCCAACAAGCTCAAGCCCCCGATCCGCCTAGACTTGCACCTCCCTCCACAACCTCAAATGCTGCTACTATTGATGAAAGAGTGAAAAAATTGTCCAATATCACAATAACTGCCACCTCTGTACCTGAGAAGACTGCATTACCAAGACAACCTGGGTCAGCTGTCAAAACGACAATAGCATCCACACTCTCACCTGGAAATGCTACATTTCCGAAGCAACCTGGATCAATGGTCAAAACACCAATAACCCCCACATCTGTTTCTGGAAACGCTGCATTTGCAAAACAACTTGGATCAGCACCAATTCAAGTTGTACGTCCTATTCTGCAGACCAAGCCTGCACCGGCCAATACAATCAGGCCAGGTGATCGTGTTGGTAACAATAGTAAAACCCCAGAATTCACTCCCAGAAATAGTCCACCCATGAAAGCCAGTTTACCTAATCAGCCTATAGTTAGAACCAATACAGCCAATTCGTCCTTGGTTAGAGCCTTTAGTAAAAAACCAGTAGCCCAGAAAGTCAATAATCCAATTAGACCACCGCCGCCATATCCTGGAAATGCTACAAATGTTGGACCGGCATCGTATCAACCCACTGTCAGTTGTTTGGAACAAGCACTTTTAGCCGATTCATCCCTATTAAACTCTGGTGTTCCTTCAAATCAATTGCAAAACAACCTCCAAGTTAGTAAAAACACTAATAGTAATTTTCTTCCAAACAACATTGTCTCTGTCACAAAACCCTCTAGTGTTCCTCCAAATTGTCAGCCAACCAATTTTTATCAACCAGATTTTCAAAATCCATCACAATATTTAGCCCAAAATTCATCAGTACTCAATAATCAAACAATGAACAACAATTTTCAGTCATCCGCAAGTAATCAAAATATGCAACAGTACCAAGCACCGCAAACTCAAAGCTTCAGTGCTGACTTTGGCTCCAGCACAATTAACACCTCACTTCTACTAGACAATAATCAGATTTTATACAATGATATGCTGAATCAAAACAATTCAACAATGTACTACAATAATTATGTTCCACCCGTAGCAACAAATCAAATGCAAAATCAAATATCAGGGACGCAAGTTTACTCTCAAGTTACACAAAATCAGTCGCATAATCAGCTGCAGTCAGGAGCTATGAACCAGTTTCAACCTTCAGTCTTGTCACAACCCATCAACCAACCAATGCAAGAACCCAATCAATACTTCTCAGCACCCACACCGAATGGCACTGTTCATTGGCAAAACTCGGCTTTTTCAAATCTTCCCATGGTAGGTCCCCCAGCCTGTTGACGTTGATCAATGCAAATTTTCCTGCTCTACCTTTGTTTTTATTTGTATAGTGTTAAATTTCATTAATACCATTGCTATCACTTTAAGTGCTCTTAAAATATCTTGAAAAATTTAGGAATTTTCATTCCCCCACTTTTAAATATTCGTAAATTTATGATCCTCATACTAAGAAACTTCAATGATCTGTACCTGCATCGTATTATTCAGCCAAGATGTTTTCAAGCTCATAGAAAAAACTTTTTAATCTTTGATCGGTAATATAAAATCATGGATTTTTAAAGATTCTTACATAAATTTCCAGTGCAGAAGTTCCTCAAAAAATAACCCAAATCGCAAGATTTTTTGGTTTTGTACAGTAAAGTTTAAAAATCCAAGCTGGAACAATACATTCGGAGGAGTCAGAAAAACCGCAACAAAACAAAACATGCTCAACACACTTAAAACCAGATCTATTGAAATTTTAAATTAATTCTTACGTCCATTCACAAACTTCACAATGATCTCTATCTTAAATACCTGCAGAACCGAACCCTGCACATGATTATCTATTTCTTCACTACTGTGCCCTCTTTACACTCCTCCCTGTATGTGGACTAGACTTACCTTTTTCTTGTAAGTGGGGGATCTTTTTTATGTATTGCCTGTAGCATTACTTAGGATAAATTAGATATTATCTCAAGGTATTCATGTCTTTGACCAACTTTTTACAGCATATCTTGAATATCCTCCCAGAGGAATTTCTGATAGCACTAATTCGAATGACTTCTATAAGTCCAGTTAATTGAGTCTAGTAATCGTCACTCTTTTATTGAGTGTTCTGTATTTTGTGTTGAACTCTTGTAGTTGCTTTCGATTCCTTTTTTCTCCTTCTTTTTAATTTCAGTTCTTTTCAATTTTTCAGGCTCAGTCTTTTCAGAATCCGTTATCCTATCAAAATCCCTTTGGTCAGGGTCTGTGAAATAACTTGATCAAGCTTTCACGTACCAATCAATCTACTCGAAGCTTAATGGATTCATCCGTTAAACAGGTAGGAACTTCTCTGTCTCATTTTCAAGGTCAAGTCAATTTTAATGGTTGGTAACAAACAGTTTGATATTAAAAGAAATCTAGTAAAAGTGAAATTTTGCCAAGTGAAGTAATGCAGAAAAATTTAATGAATTGTTATGGACCATGGATGCACAGTTATCAGCAGAGCTATTTTTGTTGGGTTCGGTTGAAAAATCAGATTTTGACATTTCAGCGGACCACTCTCCAGTTTTATAAAGAATGAAGTGGGATCAGCGTAGTAGTGGCGCCAATATGCTCATGATCTTGATGCGTAAATCCACGAGCTATGAGAGCGCAGTTCGAACCTTGTTTTTGGCTACTCCAATTTTCTGTACTTTTGAGTGATTTTGCTCCCAGTTGCCATCATTTTAAAAAGTTAGAGAAAAAATTGTAAGCGTAGGTCACATACCACTTTAGAATGACACAATAAAGAAAATGACCTAATGGACCCAAGAAATTAAGTGCTCCTACTAAACATTACTGAGAAGTAAACTGCATCCAATCTTAAATTTTCATCTCAGTTTTTGAGCAGAAGGTCGAATGTTTCTTATTTCATTTTCAAACTTCTTGCAAACTTTATTCCCTACTTTAATTGGTACCATGAAAAATTAATAGGATGACTCCAAGTTTTGAAAAAATTGACAGAGACTTCCATTAGGAAATAATGAAATTGAAACAGAACAACAGCTTGTGAGAGCCAGCTGAATCTGATGATGCCAAAATCAGAGTATTTACAGTTCTGTCAGACACCCAGATTCTTTAAAATCACCTCCCACGAACTTGCTGCTTTGTTTGAGAAGTAAAAAATTTGTTTTTGTATCGTTTGAGTCTTAAAGAAAATTTTCCCAGATATTTTCTTTTCTTGTGTTTTAGTTTAACAAGCCTTGCTCTAAAGATAACCACTATGTTTATATCGGTACCCCCAAGCCAAAAGGTACCTAACTTACATTTTTGGAAAAATCAGTGTGTGTGGAAAATTTAGTAACCTGATCTTGCACTGATTATGAGAAATGGAGTTTTAAAAATTGAGATTACCATTGGAATCAATGGGGCTGACGTGCGGTCTCCCCCTGATATCTTGAATAGAGAGACTAAAATGGAGTTAGGTACCTCTTGACTCTGGGGTTCTGGTATATTCGTTGCCATGATGCTATGAAAGCGTTTATCAGGAGGACTTATCCTGCTCTTTTTATATCATAACATTATTTTAGTTACCTCATTTAATGGATTTTCTCCTGTTTCCCAGAATTTTAACTTCAAATTGATCTCATGGCTGTGAATGGTGTAATGGCTGCCCACAACATTGCCAACACAAAGTGAAAACTGCTCCAGAAATATTCATTTTTATTTCACTTCCTCGTGATTTTTTTTTTCTTTTTTTTTTTTTTCTTTCTTTCTTTTTTAAATTCAATGTTACTGTTTTGTTTTGTTTATTTGTTTGCAGTCATCATTTCTGCTGTCTGTATTTTTCTCTGTTTAAAGGTTACTAAATTTTTAAGGCAAAATTTTATGTAGTATTTTGTTTTTCAGTCCCTAATTCTAATACTGAAAAAGCTTTGCTAATTGTTATGATTCGGAGGGTCTTGCAAATGAAAGAGTAAAGTGATATTTTTGTGCTTTTGAGAAAATGTTTTGAAAGTAAAAAAAAATCTAGAAGCCAGTGACAGAAATGAGCTTTCATCTTGAATAACGTATAACAAAAATAATATAAAAGTATGTAACTTTTGAATACTGACGTAAAAGAAAGGTTTCATTTTTTCATGAAGTATTTTAATTAACAAGTTTTATGCTGTAAAATGACCATGAACTCCTTCATCTGCGACACCCTTCACTTGACTTCATTCATTTGCTTCAATTGCTCGTACTTAAAATTTTATTTCATAATAAAAATTATCTCTAGTATAAGATTCCTCTGGAAACAATACAATTTTTTAAGAATAATGGAGAAAACTTGATATCAGAAGGTTAATGTTTTATGTTGAGTGTTGCCTTTTTCGGGTGAACTGGTAAATCAGATTATCAGGATTAGTGAGTGTTTAATCACATTCTGAACAATATGTCGACCACTCCTCCATTGTAATCATTTTCTTTTCTTTCTCAATTTTTATTTAATGTTGTTAAATTATTTTTGGCTCAAAAATAGTCTTTGAAGGTTTAGCTTTCTAGGAAGCGGATCCTTGCACTGATCGTCTCTAACTGTGACAGTAATTGTTGCAAATCTCCACTACTGGTCCTCTTAAAAAAAGAGAAAAATTATCTTTTATCCCCCCCCCCCCCTAATCTACCTATTTTTGACCATGTTCATTAATTGTTCCTAGGCTTAAGTGCAGCCAAACTTTCTTAAGAATTTCTTTTAGACATCAAACTTCAAAATTAAGTAATCAAATGAATGTACAAGTCTTCAAAATCGTGTATTGCACTCTACCTAGGCTCTAAAATTTCAGCCCTCTTGCATTAAAGAGCACGTTTATTTTTCCATTATAAGAAGTTCACAGAAATATTTTAGTATGTAAGCGCCCAGCAAATTTTCAAGATTGTTAAGTTTTCCGTTTCATTTCCTCCCTTTCTGAAGGTTCTTAAAGCTTTAAGAAGGAGTAATGAAGTGATGAAAATTTTTGAGGTGTACACTCTGACTTACACAGTGAAACCACTTTTCGAAGTATCATTTAAGTGTTTTGAGCCCATGCCCTCTATTCTCTGGAAGATCGTTTATTCACTTCTTTGATCAAGTTACCTGTGCAAACAATCATTATCTTATCGATGCATTTTCGCATCATATCTTTTCCTTAATTTTAATGAACAGTGAAAATTCCTTCTATTGGCAGCCAAAAACAGGTTAATTTTATCTCAGTAACTGTGCGCTCTGACCTTCCTGTGTTCAGAGCAGGGCTTTAATGGTGGTAGAAGCAAATTCTAACACTTTTCCTTTTGTTGGCAAGTAATGTTAATCTTACCTTTCTAGGACAACTATTAGCCGGGGGCTGAGTTTCTCAAAATATTGCAATACATATGTATTATATGCAAGTTAAGTATGTATTAAATGCAAAAGGCTAATTATATGCATTATACAAAGGGTATTCTGGAAGTTTCTAGGCTGACTTTTGCGAGATCAGCTAGTGAGGTACAGTTTGTACAGAGTTCATCACATATTCAACAAAACCAATCTGAACTGCTAAAAAATTGGGCATCATGACATTTTGCATAAATCCTGTGAAATTTTTGGTAGTTTTTTGGACGAGAAGATATGAGGAAAAAAGTCATAAAATTAAAATAATCAAGAACTGGCAACATAATTGCAATTAGTATATTGCATTTTTGTGCTACTTAGTTTAATGTGTTACCTCAGGATCACCAGGGCAACTGATAAAACTTTTTCTCAACTTGCGTCTGAAAAGCAGTCGTTAGCAGTCAAGTCTTACAGACTTTTCCTCTTTGAGCAATTTTTCACTGTGAATCTGTAGTCATGCAGTTTTCTTCATAAATGTCCTCTATCTTCTTGAAATCATCACTGGAAGATAATACCCATAGCCAAAAATAATTTGCATAGCGCTACTCCTTATTTAACTTTGTAGCATCAGTAATATTGCTGCAGGAACTGCCCTTAAAATTTGAATGGATACGACCGCTGTAAGCAAGTTGAAAAAAATTTCACTGGTTACCTGGGGTTTCCAAGGTGAAGCTTTTAGCCAAATAGCACATAATTGCAAGATGTTAATTCTGACTACGTTTCTAGCCATATGTAACTTTGCAATTACAGTACTTTCTCTCTGTAATGACTATCGTTGTAGCGAGAATCTCCCTGTAACGAGGAAATCGGCCGGTCCCTTGAACTTCCTATTTTAAATATCGACTATTGTCATAACGAGAATCTCTTTATATTGAGGAAATCGGCCGGTCCCTTGAGTTCTTGTTACAGAGAGAAAGTACTGTATATAAATTCTGTCTCTCATTTTTCTTGTTTTTTCAATCTACAAAACAACCAAAAATTTCTCAGGGTCAAACTGTACTCAATACCTTCAAAATAATTTACGGACAAATTTTTGTCCAAATGTGCTTGGATTGGTTTTGTTGAGTAAATAGTGAGTTTATTATCCTGCACAAACCACATTTCATTAGCTTGTTCTGTTCGTCCCCATGAGGGTTTGTCTCAACTTTTGGGTGGCCCTTTGTGTATACTTTTTCAGTTCCATCCCTATGATCTTCTTTTATAACCACACGCTTGACGAGCGTTGTGTAAATTGCAAACAATTCATTCCTAGAGACTGCCATATATTTAGTATTTAAGATGAATCGTTCGCTCTCATCATGCTCAGCTGCCTCTTGAATGAAATATGTAAGTTTTTTTAGCCATCCTGGTTTAAAATGTTAAACTTTATTCATAGAAGGCATCCAGATAATATTAAAGAGGAACAAAATAGAACTATGCTATTAGTATTTGGAACAAGGGTTGGCATGGAAAGAGCATGCTCCAACTTGTAAAGTTACTCTGAAAGCTTGATCTAATAACTATCAATCAAAAGAATTTTCTCTTAAGTATTCTTTTAAAAAGAAAATAAGAGGAAGAAAAAAAATATAAGGAAAGAAGCCTCGATAATTTGTAAGAGTCAAGATTAAGCATGGATTAGAAGCCCCCCCCCCCCCGAAAATATTCGATCTTTTTTTTTATTAAGCTGTAATCTGATCCGAGAGTTTTTCTTCCTGGAGGCGAATGATTTGTATCCTAGCAAAAAGAAAATCAATTGTTTTTTCAAGTTTTATTTCAATTTTATCATACATATCCGTCAATTCAAAAAATTTCTCATTGTTAATATGGATACAGCCCAAGATAATGGTAACAGTAGAAAAGCAAACTAAAAAAAAAAAAACCGATACGTTGCGACTCAAAGCTGAGTCATTTTCAGTCGGAAATGTTCCAATAAAAATTTAAAAAAAACAATAAAAAACCTGATCCCTACATGGTGGTGGTCGGGATCTGAGAAAAATGTTTCGAGTTGAAACATCTCGTTTTTTTCTAACTGTGTATTTTAGCCTTGTTTCCCGTTTTTCCTCCTTGTTTTTCCATTGTTAATATGTATAGGTGGATAGCTTTCAGGGTCATTAAAACATACTTTCATATCAGCCGTATTTGGCTCCATTCGTTTTTCAGCCATGTTCTCTTCCTCTCTTAATCGAGTATCTCAGAAATAAGATTTGACTTGCATTTTATTTATCTTGATCTGAAACGGTTCGAGAGTTCAGAGCATGTGTATTTTTCTCTTTTTATCTTTGTTACCAATTTTATCTTTTCTGATCACATTTTTTTGGTAAATATCTCCGAGAAAAACAAAAATTAATTCAACACATTCAACTGAAATCTATTTTTAAATTGTGTTCTCATCACACATCAAGTTATTCAGTAATTGCTTCCATTAATTATGTTTGTTACACTGATGGTGAATCTTAAAAAAAAAGAGGAAGAAGCAAAAAAATAAGTCCTTCTCCCAATTTTAGTGCTTTGAAAGTCCTCCTCTTTCTTAAATTCTTATCAGAAGCTCAACCATAATTTATGTATGAAATTTGTAGACACCTAAAAAAAAATTTAGTAACATTACACGCAGTACAGTGGTTTGCTTACCTTAGTGAAAGGAAGTTAACATTGTCATAAACTTTGCTGTGTTTTTTTTTTTTTTTTTTTTTTTTTTTTTTTTTTTCAATTTTACTATCCATGTGTATTTATTTTTGACAAACGTAGTTTTCTAGTGCCTTTTCTATCTTCATGAATTCCCCTTTATCTACCACACGCACATTTTCAATACTTATCTATAAGTAAAGTTCATTTTAAAAAAATAAAAAAAATTAAACCCACAGCATTTTGAAAGCCATATTATGGTACGCATAAAATCTTGAAAACCCATCATGTAAACTCTCTTCTCCTGATTTCAAAAGAGGAAAATGCTAAACCTAAAAAAGGTTTTTCTTGTCATTAAAACCTGATGTTCATGAAGAGCACACTGAAATTTTTTTGGTTCAGTACCTCCGATTCTTTCAAATTTTGTAATCTCCAAAATTTTACCTTAAAACATTCTTGTACACTCAAATCTTAATTATCTGCGTTGATTGGGACCGCAGGTACAGAATTAAATCACAAATTGAATGTCAAACCAGAAAAAAACTTTTCCTTTGAAAACTCTGTGAAGTATAACTTTCGTAATAAGTGTTAGTAAAACTATATTGTTTGAACAAGTTGGAGAGGAAATAGACACTTTCAGGAAATTTTGCTGATTCATCGACTGAATTTGACCTTCAAAGTATACAAGAAACGTCATTGGTCCGCCATGGATACTCAGAATTGCAAT